TAATAATAAAGACACATTTAATGATCAAATATTTTTAATATATTAATTTTGGGGTGATAGCCCCTGCATTTATGTGTGAAGAGGATGTCTTTGCTCTTAACTGTATCATGTTTTCATTTTTGTCCCATCTTTGATTGTAATTATCTTCATGTGCCTGCATGTGCAAGCTCTCACAAGCTCTCTCAAATTATCTGCATATTTTCATCTCCAACTCAAATGTGGGAAGCGTGTATTTGAAGCCCATAAATGGATCAGCAACAGTGTAACCGCCGCTCCATGTTTCCCCACAGTGATGCATCTCGGCACTGTCACACTGCTCTCTAATTTGGAGGAGCTCTGCTCAGGCCTGAAACTCCAAAGAGCAGCAAGACACTCTCCGGCTCACTGTTGTATAATTAAAGGAGAAATGTTTGCCTCAGTAGCCTCGTCACACCAGTATAGGAACCCTTGTTAGCCACCAGTGTTAGATTAGAAGGTCTTTGTTGCTGGCTAGTGGCCACACAGCTTTTGAGTGTGTCTTGTGTGTGTGACAGAAGGACATACAGATATAAATATAAGGGGAGACACCATACTGAAGCACCAAATGTTAGCATTGCTTTCCATATCCATGATACTTATAGAACCAGATTTATTGTGCGTAAAAATAGTTTTTTTTTTTTTCTCCTTTTTTCGATCATACAACCACCTCACTTCTTACTCAGTGATTATGACTGGTTGAATCTTGCTGATGGCGCTAAATTATTAACAGCACACTGTTTTAATTAAGTCTCAAGTTACGGGAACAATGTTTAGAATCAAATATTATACAGTTCACTTGGGATGAGTGAACACACATTGTGGCCCTGTTTTTTCAACTTCACTGAAAATATATTCTCTTTTTTTTTCAGTCCATATGCAAGTGTGGAAGTTCTGCATTCAGTACTTGCTTCTGACAGCTAAATGCTCTAGGAAAATGTTTCACTTCTGCTTTAAAGACCATGATGGATGGATGATTAAGTGTTTGTGGGATTTTATTTACTCATAATTTAAATTGAATGGTTTTATGATGGTTGGGGCATGTTTGTAAATGTGCGTATGCACATGTTCAGTCATGTGCATTTGTGGTCATGAGTATGTCAGAAAACGGTTTTATTTGAAGAGGACAAACATCTATTCTTGTCTCATCCCCTTGTCATATTCCAATAAATCTTCATGTCTCCATGTGAATTTTTAGGCAGTTTTAGGCAGGAAATGGAGCTGGGAGATTCCTTTGCATAGCAGGGGTCTAAGGCGGATGCTAGTGGCAAGATTTAACGGCAGGGGTCATGGGTCAAAGGTGCCTCCAGGTTCCACATTTGCAACTTTGCCCAGATCCTGTCTGACTGCCGTCAAAGTGGGCAGCCAGCCACACTCTAATGTGTATTAGCAAGACAAAGGGAGAGGAGAGGGGCGGGCATAAAATGGGCTTTGATTTCTCAGAGATTTATGGGCGTGATGAAATCAGCTTTGAATAAACTGGGATTGCCCATTTTCTCTATCATTTAGCCACATCTGAAGGCTCTTGGGTTTGTTCCGGGAGACAGACACCCTGGATAAAAAGCAACAAATCTAAAGAGAAAGAAGAGTGGAGGGCAGCAGCTTCCTCTGAAGTCCTCACATGTCCCATTCAGGGACCCATCAGCTGGCAGCAGCCCATTGTATGTGCAGCTTCACGACCATTACAGCCTCAGCAGAGAAATTCCCAACCATAGACTTATGGAAATGATCCTCATGTGTTCCTGGGATACTGAGAAAGCACTTGGCTGCTAACTTGTAAATGTCCTTGGCTGTTGTTTTCTGCAACAGTTTAACACTAAGGAGAGTCAGACATGTCGGTAAAATATCCTAGTCTTTATCAAGTAGTTAAACAGTGTTGATGTATGTATACAGCCACCGAAGTAAGTACCCAGGTGATGAGGGTGGCTTCCTCTCCATCCCCTCTTCCCCCATCCTGCATGTCCTGCAATAAATACGAAGTGCCCCCCAGTGACCCTCCCAGTGATAAATAACCCTTAAGGTTAACCACGTTTGAAATGGAGCTGTGAGGCCATTATAGGCCTCTGGAGTTTTCTTGACATCCCCAATATGTTATCTATATGTCCTGGGACTTTTACCAGAGCAGCATTAACTGGCCTCTCTTTTGTGTCAGAACTGATGAAGTTTGGGGGAGCTATTTTAAACAACAACTCTGAGGATGAGATCTGAATCCTCTGTCTGCATGTTCAGCATGCCGTAATTAATTGTTGTATAAAATGCACACTGGTTATTTAGGATATGACACATGTTTGGTTGTGTGTGGTGAATTCTGTTTTCCTGCATATTGTACTGCAGGCGTGCACATGAGCATACAAGTGTGCGCACAGATGGTGTGGGGTAGTATGTGAACTAATGGTAATTGCACCTTGGCGTCTGGTTGTCAGCTAAAAAAAGGTTGGTGTTTATCTTTCATGGCTGCCTGCTGGTGTTATCTGCAAAAATGTCTGGATTCTGAAGATGCTCCGATTCTTGTCATGTAGAAGTAACATGATGTAAAACTTCAAGAACATGAGTATTATAGTAACACAACAATAATTCTACATTTTAAGAGCATAAGTACTGTAGAAAAGCAATAATAATTCTACATTTAAAGTTCACCATCTCAGTGTCCAAAGGTAGCAAAAAAAATATCAATTTCAAACACCAATTTCTTTGGATGTGATGCATATGATAAATGATATAATATACACATAAGATATGTTTTCAAGCACTATAAATAGTAATCGTGTCAAGCTCGGCCCTTACACAGACATTAGGGCCTTTTTGTTCTGATTTACTGTATTAGGCATATAAAGCAATATTTGTTTAAATTTCACTTCCTCACTGCTAATAATAAAAATATAGCCACACCGCAGAGACTGAGCATATCTGATGAGGGTAAAATGGCTGTTGGAATATTTAGCAGTCGTTTTGTAGTTAAACCTCATATGCAAACTGTAGTTTTGGAGATTTGAGAGCTGGCAGCCATAAACTTTGTTTCTGATATTAAGTATGAGACGTCTATAAACTGCTTTTGATCAAAGGCAGAATCCTATTTCAATAATCCACTGTGGTGCCAACTTCTGAGAGGGAGAACTAGAGAAGATTAGTGTCATGTTACCCCTAGTATAGGCTTTAAACACCAGAGCGAGAAAATGTATCTTCTTCAGTATGGGAGCGATATATTTTAAACCATATGACTCCAAGACAACTAACAGAGGGATTGATTATTTTTTCTCATATTTAAAACTTTAGAAAAGAGCACTGGAGAAAATGAATGAGATGAAAAGTGTGTTACAGTCACCACCTAGTGGAAGCAATTGGATCAACAAAATAGTCCTTATGCTTCTTCTTTTTCTCCTTCTTCCCCTTCTTCTTCTTTTCTTCTTCTTCTTTTTCTTCTTCTTCTTCTTCTTCTTCTTCTTCTTCTGCTCACTGTTGAGTTGCTTTAAGTATACAGATAAAGACTCTTAGACCTGCAGAATAAAACCAGTGGTGGAATGTAACTAAGTACATTTACTCAAGTTCTGTAATTAAGTACAATTTTAAGATACTTTCTTGAGTATTTCCATTTCTACACTACAGTTTTAAGAAAAATATTGTACTTTTTACTCTTTCTACACTTTATTTAGTATTTACTTGTTTTTTTCATTTTTGCTTTGATTCAGATTACCCATACAAAACATAACTCAACTAATGATATATTATTATTGATTAAGCTACCCAGCAGTATCAAAAGATGTTGGAAACACGTTTACCAGCTGCAACATTAGTGATGTGTACATGTTGTCGCATCACAAAAAAAAAAGAAAAGAAATGCAATATAATATGTATTATTCTGCAAAGGGCCATTCTGCATAATGAGTACTTTTACTTTAAGTACATTTTTATGCTAATACTCAAGTACTCATACTTAAGTAATATCTTAAATGCAGGATTTCTGCACTGTGATATGGTATTATTAAGTAAAAAGATCGGAATACTTCTTCCACCATTGAAACAAATACTTAATGAATGCATCTTTTAATAGTGATTCTCACACCTCAGTTCTGTAAATTTAGTCTCCAATTATTTTACAACAACATATAATACAGAGGCACATGGATTGAAGTGCACTCACTGGTATGATCTATGTAGTCAACATCTGAGAGATGAAACAAACTTGATAGGCAAAAGGAAAGATCTGTCTTTTATGTGAAGCTTCACATTACTGTGTAGCAGCTAATGATCCAAATATAGTTGCTTACTTTTAGAAATGTTATTTATTTTTCCTCACAGAGATGCTGTTGAGGCAGTTTTCCTGAACCACATTTAACTCTATTCTTTGATTTATGCTGTTTTGCTGAAATAATGTCTGCACACGCTGCCAAGTTTCCAGCAGTTGATAAGCATGTCCTTAAACTGTAGCCAGGTGGTGCTGTTTGCTTTCCAAAGTGTGTCTGTTTACAGTGTGGATGGTGAGGAATCAATAAATCAAAGGTACATAAAAAGCACTTTTACTGATAAATTATTCTATTAGGAGTCACTGTGTGCAAAATAGTGATTTTTAACTGTTCAAAAGCTTTGATTGTACTTTATTGTTTGAACTGTACTTTTTCATTCATCAAGATGCCATTCTGTATTTAAACTGAAAGTATTTATCTTAAAATATGATTATGTGGTGCCCAAATATTCCACCAACAGATGAATGGGTCCTGGGAGTATATTGTCACAGCTCCCCCAAGTGGTACAACTGAGCTACTACATGGAGCCATGTGCAACTGAAGGTTAGTGTTCAACGCTCAGGTCATTTGCTGGTCCCAGTGTATTACACAATTAATATTTCAGATAGTATGAGTTTCAGAGTAAGATCAATGATTTAGAAATATCAGATAAAAGTTTAACTGTGTGGACACTTCATGTACACTCAATTTGCACACAACCAACTTCTGTAATATGTGCATATAGCGGGACTTTGCAACAGTAAGTAGAATTAATTTCAAAAGGTTTATTTAGAAGAATACTGACAAAAATGCAAACTTTGGTTTGCACAAAGCAAATTAATCACAGGACATGACACACTTGCAACACAAAGTATACATTTCAACAATAGTAGATATAAAGCACCATTTTTCAAAACTAGATTACAAAATGCAAAATATATTTTTATTTGGCATATCAAGTACAATGATAATTCAGGAGAAAAAACAAAAAAACTTCATGAATTTATTAACACTTCTTAATGTTATTTTTTAAGTTTCTGAGGATGTTCTCATTTCCTTCAAGAAGAACACAGATATTCTGAGCAAGGCACGTGGTTCAAAGCATTGGACACTGAAAAAAAAAGACATTTAAAAAAAAACTTGATACTCTGGCAGTTGAAGCGACATCTCTTTGGCACAGCTGCATGATTTGTGAGAGACACGAACTCTATCACGTAAATGAGCATGACAAATGTTAACTTGACAACACTATGTACAACATGTATGTAAAAATGTTATAAATATGTCTAAAAACCACAGACATTATGTACATCTTTGTACTGAAGGATTACTCGTCTTTGTTATCACGCATGATGGATTTGTGGAAGCATGCAACAAAAGTCAGTATGTCACCAACAACATTTATACACACATTTTGAAATCACCACAGGAGAATGTGTGATGACACTCAGCCTTTGTTAAAATTCACAAAGCAAATAGGTGTGATATTTTTCAGCATGTGATCTAACGGACTAAAATACAGCTAAAAAAGATCCCCAGCAGTGATAAATGTCAGTATTTACAATTGTTAGTGACACATGCACTTTTGTTGTATTGTTGGGATGTCAGTCTATGGTCTGTGGGCAGTAGGCACAGTGCGATGTTGTTGTAAAAGGGGGAATCCTTACTACCCCTCCTCTTTTCTCCTCTGCTCCATCTCTCATTCTTTCTTCCTCAGGACGATATAAATGAGGCCGCTGACGAGACAGAGAGGGAACGCCACCCAGGCCAGCACGTAAGCGTAGCCGAACTGTGCATCGGATCTATCATCCGGACTCATCACGGTGTAGATAATCGCTCCGCACATCACAAACACACCTAGGGAAGAGACGAAAGGAGAGGTGAGGCAAATCTGAAGCGAATGTTGATGATCTCACAACTCCACCCAGCATCTGCTCGGGGTGTGAGCAGTCAGCGTGTGATGAAGTCATACTCACTTGCAAAGATCTGGAAGATGGCGGTGAAGAAGAAGCGTCCGCCCTTGACCAGTCTGAACAGCTGATACAAAAAGGCAATGAGGGAGAAGAAGCAGAAGAGTATTGACAGTATCATCAGGGCCTGAACTGCCTGGATCCAGTCTAGAAGACAGACAGAAATGATGTAGAGCGTGAATAAAAACACATTCATAACACATTCATAAGCATCATTTTAGTTTGTTTTTCAGGAATTCTGACAAACCTTCATTGCTTGCTGGCTTGCAGTGGTAGCCTCCATTAGTTACCATGCAATTGTACCATAGATTTGTGCTGCCATCCGAATCTACAGACCAGGTCTGGTAAACAAGAGCAACACAGAAGCATTAAAATACACTGCAGCATCCACAGTACAAGTGTGAGCCAAAGCACCAATATTTAATGATCACACCATAAAGCAGCTGGACTCTGTGCTAGTTTATTCACACCATGTCCCTGTTCCATTCAGCATTTTTCACAATTAGGACTGAACAAAGTGTAACTTACACTGACTGCTGTTGACACAATAAGAAGAATGAGGATGATAAGGTGCAAGATGAGCACTCCAAGCAGGATGAGCAGCATTTTTTCAAGTAGATCTAGAGAGAAACATGAGACAAAAAAAGTCAATCCACATGAAGTTACAACCGCACCAGAACCCCTTATGTGTGCAGCGCCACATCAGCTCATCCCGACGCCAGATGGCGCTATATCCTCACTTGTGCACCAACCGCAATGTTTACCTCAATGTGAAAGTATCCCCTTACACACGTAGAAAGAAAAGAAAGAAGGAAGGAACTTTAATTCCTTCCCGATGGGGCTAAAAATGCTCAATGTTAACTTTAAAGTCAGGCTGTGGAACTCGATGAACTTTGGATCCATTTACAAGTCCGAATGATTTAATTACAACTCATTAATTTAACTGACGCATGTTTGCAAAATAAGTACAAAAAAAAAAAAGCAGAAGAAAAGGTTGGCGTAAACCAGAGTAGGTCGATATGAGCATAAAGACTGATTCACGACTAATCAATGCATGCTGCTGGAGACAAACTCGACCCCATCTCCATGAAAAACATTCCAGCGTAGTGCCGCCATGCGTGCGCCTCAGCCGTTTTATTCTCTGGTGTGAGAATAAACTACAGCCTATAGAGCCTCATATCTAAACTGCTGATGGACGACACATAATTGCATTTTCGCGTTATATAAGTAAATCCAAAGTCGATTTAAAGTCCAGTGGTGAAGTCCTGTTTGTATGAGTGGGGAAAAAAAAAAACCCAAAGAAACCAAACTAGAACAAAAAGCCCCAACACGTTAGTCCAACTTACAAAAAAAAGGCAAAGCGAGAGGTTTGTGTCCGTGGAAAGGGAGTTCTGAAGTGAAGAGTTGGGGAAAGAATCAGCGGTGTTCTGCTCCTCTCGAGTCTTTCTCTGTAGCTACTATTCCAGATGTGGCTCACACACCCCAGTCGGACTCTTTCTGCCTCTGAGAACACCGCCCTGCAGGCCCTGCACGTCACCAGAGGCCCGCTCCAAAACCTTCTCTCGTTTTTTTTCTTCTTTTTTTTTCTTCTTCTTCTTGTCGTGGTAGCCTATCATCTGGGTTGTACTAAAGTCCACAGGATTGTATGGAGTATCCCATGGTATTATTTTGCAAACCGCAAAGCCTTAAAAATGTAGTGTTATGCCTTTTAAAAACATCCATTATTGCACACCTATAACACATCCAGTTAAATTCCAGCGAGGGCATGTTGTGTCAATGATTCTCTGTCATTTTGTGATTCATGTGTTATTGGTGCATTTTATAGCTGTGGTGTCTTTATGGTCCCTATAAAATTCCTGATGCTGCATCAAGGTGTGCACGCTCTGCATACTGCACCATGCATGTCTGTTAATGTTTTTTATTCAGCCACACCTGAAATACAAACAATTTGAACTCTAGCTGTCAGGACAGTCAAGAGGACTGTCAACCCCACCGGCTGAACTCAAAATATGCAAACTGAGCTCCATAAACCACACATGTCCAGCAGTTTTATCCAGATAGTGTGTGTGTGTTTGTATGCATGTGGACAGACCAGCCCTCTGGAGGCCCCGCGGTATGCCCAGAATGCCTCTCTCTCACTGTGTGTGTGTGTGTGTGTGTGTGCGCCTCATGTTTACTCCTGCTTCTGCAGACAGGAGGGAGAGTTTGTCCAGTGCCGAAGGGAGTTAACACGGTGCAATGTTTCGGTCATGTTAAATTGATGGAACGGCTTGGAGCTCCACGCACACAAGCGATTCAAGGATGAGTGACAAAGATCCCGCCGTGGTTCTGCAACCCTCATTACGCTGTGGTCTCGGGCCATTTCCTCACAAAGTGACAAAGTTGTCAAAACCAAACCAGCACGCAAACGACAACAGTGACAAAAGAACAAGCACACGCGATTTGCTATTTTGAAAACCCTCCCAGTCCAAACGTGATTGTGATCAGCTGCTGCAGTCAGAGAACACAGCTTGAACGCCCTCTCTCTCCTCTGCTGTGCAGCTTTTTGGCTCCTCAGGTGGATTCCTGTGGTCTGTGTTTGTAAACAAGAGAGGGGAAGAACTGCAAGCTGCTGCCCAGGCTCACTGGGGGTGAGGCAGTGCCCGTGAGGAGGCAAGGAGAAAGAGAGAGAGAGAGAGAGAGAGAGAGAGAGGGCTCTTTGACAATCAGCCCGGCCACTCAGCTGGACGCGCTGCTGTTTATGAAGATGTAATTGGTGCAGTGGTCAGGTGGAGGGCAGTGCCAGCAGCAGCAGCAGCAGGGGCGGCAGGGTGAGAAGTCAGACCTGGCTGCCTAGCTGGAGCAGGTGTGTGTGGAGGCTATTAATGTCAAAGTGGTCTAACTCTCCAGAAAACAGAAACAGAAAAGAATTCAGATCTATTTTGTTCTGTTGGAGTTTAAAATATCTATATAAATAATAACAAACAATAACTTGAAGCTGTAAGGCAATTCTGTTGCTGTTGTTGTAAACTCTCATACAGCATCTGTGATACATTCCTCAGCAAATGAAGCTTCACTTGCAGTGAGCTGCAGCTACAAGAGTCCCACCCTTTCTTTATTACAACTTTTATTAACTTTAATTCAATAAACTGTGAGATTGCGCCCATCATATTATTAGTGGTTGGATGTTTCTATAAAAACATGCACATGTAGCCTTTTTAATGAGTCTTTATTACAGTTACTGTTTAAAGTTTTGTCATAATTAATGCTGTGTGAAACACACCCAGTTAATGTGAGGACAATGTGAAAGACGTGAAGGCTTTCTCACACTTTAGCCCGCATTCTTATTAGTGCCAACCTCTCTGAGTGATTAGCTACTTTGTGCTGTCAGTGATAGCTCAGCCATAGCCCTGCAGAGTTATGATCTTTCTTACATGGCTGATAGCACTGGAAACCATCCAAAACCTTTTACCCCCATTAAATGAAAACACGGCAGCTCCTCGTCTTTGGAAAGTGAAGGATTACAAAGCAAACAGGCACAGTCACAGCCATTGTGGCTAGGCTGTGGCTGAAATTTGAAACCGACACACCCTGTTTCACTGAGGGCATCAGGACACAGGTGATCTGTTTTAGAAAGTTGCCTTACCAAAGTTTGTGGATATTAACAGGAGTATTTCCCTAAATCAACCTCATGGATTTGTGCAAATGTGCTTCAGTGCTGTTTAAGTAGTATCCCGAGCAAAACAGCTGACCTAAAACAAAACCACAGAGGCGTCATGGTGATTTCACTGTCATTTAATGAAAGGACAGATTGTAATGCTATGAAACATTGGGCTGTGGCTTTGTTGGAAAAATCTATGTTGTTAATAGGAAATAATACCAGTCCCCAAGAGAATCTGTGGTGTGGATAACTCCAATTTGGACATGAATTATCTAAAACTTCTAATATTCTTACAATAATATATGTTGATTTTGTAATTTCCTTGACATGGTTGTTAAAATATAGATCTGAATCTATACTTAACAAATATATCTGGATTAGTCTTCAGTGTTTAAGGCTGTGAGTCAAGGTCAGTGCTAACTTTCAGTTTTCTTTCTGGTATCGGTGCAAATGATGTCAGGTTTGTGTTAATATCACATTGAAAGTCAAGTCAAGACTCGTGTTACAGTCAAGGTGCATTACTGGAACAGTGTGCTGTTTTGTGACTTTGAGTGAGTCAGCCTCAGTTTAAGCCCAGCCCTTGTATACAACACTGGGCTCCACCTGCAGGAGTGGCCAATATGACTCTTTTGGACTGCTCCAGCTCCAATAGCAAACATGGGACTGAGGGAAGAGTGAGACAATTAGGGATTAGGTGGTTTTGGTTTTGGACATGACTGCCTGTAGGACGTCTTAGTGGGACAGCTGGACAGGCATATTTTACTTGTGGGAATATGGAGGAATGATGGAACGCCTCAGTCCTCCTTCACCTATGGAAACCCCTGCCAAAACAAGAGGAAACACTAAAACTCTGAAGTCAGTCTAGTCAAATGTCATCAGGAATAGCTGACAACGCCTGTCCCAAAAAAACATTGGATATATCTCGCTTATCACAGCTGGAACACCTTGGAGTTCACACCAGCTGCTCTCAGAACTTCACACATTTTTGTTACAGCTTGGGTTCATTTGTGTTGTGGTGTGGTTTGGTCAAATTGCATCCCTCCGTTCACTTTGAAACCGTAGACAGCAACATTCCTCTCTACGGTGCCATCTCTGCTTTCCAGGATGTCTATGGCGCTTACCTTGTGTTGCCTGATCATCAGGCCCAAACTGGCCTCACTGTGCTGCTCTTAGTGTTTGTGTTTTGCCACTTAGTGACTATCAGATAACATCCCACAGACCACGCAGGAAGAGCCATTCAGACTCAGACCTATGTTAAAAGATAGCACACTTAGCAAGGCCATGTTACACCAGTCACACACAATGACACTGATACTAGACTGCGTGTTGACACGGGCCATAAGTATGCACAAAACACACTCACAAAAAGCCGAGCTCACTCATTCTTTCACCTCAAAATATGAGCAGGTCTACATGTCTGCATCTTATCTTTGAGAGGTTGCGCTATCAAAAATATCTCTGCTGTGTGTGAAAAGCTACATAATATGCAGGTCTGTGCGCAAGTGTAAAGCAGGATCACATTAAAGCATCTGTGCCGTGCATGCCCCATCTCACCTCTTTCATTTTACACTCTGAAGCTCAAAAACGGACCATGACTTAACTGAAGATCTCCATTGGCTGGGAGCTAAATCAGATAAAGCGGGCCAAGATGTTATGGAGGGGAGAGGGGCTTGGTTTCTTTCCCTTTAGAAATGGGCCTGCCCCTCCCTGTGAAGCAACAACAACCAAATAAATCAGAGACATACGGCATGACGAACTCCAGATTGTGGCACCCTAGTGATCCTAAACATGTGCTAATCATTAGCCCCTGGCTTCCTGTTGGAGTCGATGTCATCGGCACACACATCCCAACAGGCAAGAAGACCAGCATACAAACTGTTGCTTCGAATCAGAGTGATACTGGCCTCAGGGGTTTGGAATGAAGCAATAAAAGCTATGAAAGAATTCAATTTGAATCGCCTTGCTCTCATTTCTGCAGAAATCTCACAGCTCCGTTATCTATGGATAAATATCTAAGATGCATCAGACACACTATGCTCGTTGTTTTTAATTACAATCAAATGTGCCTGAATAAACACTCCTGGTCATATGATTCATTTGCTTTGGGATCTGCAGCTAAAATCCCCTTTAACTACCAAAGAAGAAAATAATTCTTGCCTACTTGTTATCAGTGGTTTCCTCATTCCTGCTGATGTGCTATCTTTTTCCAGCAGAGTATCTGTGCTCCTCTGACAGCTAACAGTGCAGCACTTCCTTTACAATCTGCCAAGTCAGACTTAAAGAAAGGTGTGTGCCAGGGAATTTTTTCTTTCCCAAAGTGTTTGCCAGCACTTAGTTTTGTAAATCTGGTCTACCTTAAGGATGAGGATTAGATTCTAACTGGCTATTGGTGCATTATCGAAGGCATTTATTTATTTTAGAAATGATATACAGAGCTGGTACTTGGGTCAAAGGTCATGAAAGGCCAGTGTAAACACCAAGCATTGAGCTCATTTACTCTCTGAGGTAAGACTTGTTTACATGATTAGCACTAGTGAGTGTAGCTCTGGTACCCTGAGGCCATTTAGAGATTTTTATACGAAGTGTAACACGGTGGATATTATCATGTTTGTGTAAAACAGCTGAGAAGTGGATTATTAGCTTTGGGACGTCTAGCAAAGGGCTAGCTATTGTCTTGTGTAAAAGAAGGCACGGATAAGATCATCCTTAAGCATGCTGCTGAACAAGCTTTATCTCTGTCTAGATCAGGCCCACTGCTTACGTTATGAGTCATGCAGCTGCTGATACATGAAGCCAAACTTGATAATGGAATCCATAATACTCATGGTGTTTTGGTTTCCTGTCTGTGTTTGTAGAAGAAGATGGCTGGTCAAA